AATAAGTAGCACCTGCGGTTTGACTTCAACAACGCATACTGTGAAACCCGCGAAGAGGTCCAAACGGAAGGAACGAACCGCACGGCAATTGGCTCAGTATAGCCAGATTCGTCGCTCCACAAGGCAGCGCACACAAACGAACGATTTGATAGTGCAAGGTAGTAGCGATAAGCCCTTAGAACATCTCAAAGTGCAACTGATGCAGCTCATAGGCGTCACTCCATCCGATCAACATCTCATGTTCAAGGGCGTGGAACTTGTAGATTACAAAAAGACACTTCAGGATTTGGGAATTCCTCCGGACAGCATGCTACATCTCTGGACTGATAGTCCACCGATGAATGCTACAACTGTGCAACTGGAGAATAGCCAGCTATTGAAAGTGTCAACCGCACCCAAGGGATCCATACCTCCTAAGAATAATGCCTACAAGAATCAAGGTGCCCCGCTGGAGCTCGGTTTCAAAGGAACTCGATTACTGGAAAACTGATCAGTCGAACGTGTTTTTTTCTTCTTTTTGTTCACAGTCATGTCACTTGCATGTGTCATTCCCGGTCAAGCCTTGACTTGTATTTTCAGCCTAATGATACACACAGAGCCCACACCCCCTTCCCCAATATCGCCTTCATCGATTGTTTGTTTGTCACTGACTGCATTCATCATTCCTGTTCATTCAATTTCCCGTTGCTGTGCCATTGATGAGCATGTGCATTTGTTACATACATATATATGTATATCTGATATTGCAAAAAAAACCATAATTCTTGACATTATAGTTCCGTCCTTTTGTGTTGAACCCTCTGATCCACTTCATCTCTTTATCTTTCCGATCTGCGTTTTTGGTGCGCATTTTCTTTTTAAATATATCTATATTTTCGGGCATTTACGCTATCCGCGTATTCTTTCCTAACATGCTGTGTTCCCCCTCTCCCCTTCTCAGCTGGGTATTACCCCAGACTGCCGAGTTTCACCTTTTTTCGGATTCGGTTGGCTTGGGTCTGTCGAAGGCTTGGGTTTACACCCGAAATGGACAATTAGACTCCGGCAAGGGTTGTTGGGCGCGGCTGTCTGCACCGTTTTGACTACATGCGTCCGCATTCCGGACCAGATTGAGGATCACGCCCCCTGTCTCACCTAAGAGGTGTTTTAAGGTTGGATGTCTAGCGTGTAGTTAGTTCTACATCGAAGCGACCAACACCTCAATAATATAAATAGAATCCAAACAGTCCGTTAACGGTGAAGCCCCGAAACCCATTATTCCGTGTTCACAGAAGCCATTCCAACCCTGTCGACATTTGAAACAGTTTGTTTATAAGCCATTCGTCATCTCTTTTTGAATTACTGTACTGTCCTCCAGCTCGATTGCAGCTCTGCCTCTGAAATTATGAATTTTTCTCCCTCTCTATTCTCCTTCTGTTCTTTGAAGTCGTTTCCGCGCATTTTATCCGAGCGGATATTCCAACTCCCAATTTTCTGTCTTGCCCATTATTTTTCATAAGACAAACGTTTACAATGATGTGCTTTACGTAACAGATCATCCTCAGCACCCCATTATATGAACTTGTCCTCTTTGTGTTTTTTTCCACCGCAATGCACATTTACGATATCTTCCGTACCTGTTTGTAAATTACGTTCCTACACTCTTTGTACTATTATTTTTGTCTCCACCGTCCTTCAATTTTTTATATTGTTGTATATTTGATCATGCACATTAGCGTGCTTCACGGGCTTCGTGAAATATGCCATTATTATTGCTATCATTATTAAGAGAGAGCTTGACTGAGGTGGATAAGAGACGAAACACCAGACGACGAAGAGATACTGCAAAGTAGGTGATCTAAAAGGTGGTGAGCTTGGAGAAAGAGATACGGTTTTACGGAGGACAGTTTAGTCCGAGTAGCACCGACACCATTCGTTCGGAAATGCTCAAACGGGGTCCTTAAATCTAAATTAACATCCGAATGAAAATATAGATTCTGGGTTAGCTTTGTGACGAAGGGAAGGAGTCGTTGATAAGAGGAGAGAAGGGAAGGGTGAAATACAGCATCGGTCTACAGAAAACTCAGCAAGTCGCGTAGGCAATTTTCTTGAGCATCAGTGCAAACAAATTTGTCAGAAAATGATTGCAGAAATAAAGGTGAAGTTTTTTGACAGAAATTAGGGATAAATCGAGGGCTCTAATCTGGGATCTGAGTTCGTGTAAGTTAGATGGTGATTTAGCTTTTGCCAGAGGAAGTAGACGGTTTGGGTCAGTTAGTAACCTTCACTTTCAACTAGGTATCCAAAACATTCGAAATGAGAGACAGAAAATAAACACTTCTTATGATTAACGGCAAACATCTTTAGCAGAAAGAGTTCAAGCAATCGTGCATCATGATTGGATTTGTCAGGAGCAAGAACAATAATGTCCTCTTGATATAATTCAACAGCAGACATTCCACTAGTAGTGTCGTTCATAACTTGTTGAAATATGGCAGGAGAAATGGGTAAACGAAATGGCAGAAACTTGTATCTGTACAAACCAAAAAAGATATCATTACTTGTCAAGGTGGAGGGGGTTTCGTCAAAACGGGATTTTGATTGAGCTCCTGGAGCGCATTCTGCGAGACCAGATCCTGCCCAACAAATCTGTTATGTTTCCTGGACGTAGTAACCCAGAAATTAGATGAGGGGATGGAAGTCGAAATGTACTACCTGGACTTTCAGAAAGCATTCGACTCAGTTAACCAAAGGTTGTTAGATTTCAAGCTCAAGGACACTTGGCTTAATCCGAAAGTCTGTAGCCAGGTTAGGGCGTTCTTCACCGGGCCGACCTAAAGGGTGCGGGTGCGGGTATGTCCGTCGGAGACGGGTTCTCCCATGGGCGGGGCCCTAGCTCCCCTTCTCTTTCTAGTGTATGTCATCGACATAACGCCAGGGCTGGAGAACCCTTACTTTTTGTACGCGGACGGCATCAAGTTAGTTGGAAACCCGGAAGACAGGTACTCCTTTCAGAATGATATGTTGAAGATATGCAAGTGATCTCAAAAATGGAATCTCCAACTCAACTCACTGAAAAGTCACCTGCTAGCCAAAATAACATCTCGTCCCTCGACAGATTCTCACTACGGACGGAGCACATGCCACCCTAGCTTACGAGTCAGAAGCAATGGACCTCGGGATAAGTGTCTCCAACACCTTTTCCCCGTCTTCTACCTCTGAAGCAGCAGCCTTGAAAGCCAGGCGAGCCCTGTTTAGACTCCGAACGGCAATCACAAACCGTTTCCCTAGTGTATTCATGTCCATTTACACAGCCATCGTAAGGCCTCACCTCGAGTACTGTGTTCAGGCCTGGACACCGTATCTTCGGAAGGACATAAAAGTCCTAGAAGACGTTCAGAGACTAGCAACCCGAATGGTCTGGGGTCAAAAGGGACTCAACTACTCGGAAAGACTAAACTCCCTGAACCTGTTCTCTCTAGGACGCCGAAGGACGAGGGGGACCTCATTGTACATTCTGGCCTCATTCGGGACCGCGACTCTCTAGAACGTGTGTAGCGAAGGGCCACGAAGCTAGTACATGGCTTGTCAGAAATCCTTTATCCTATCCGGCTACAACAGCTGAATCTATATCCCCTAGATATACGACGTATTGGAGTGGATCTTTTTCTTCTGTATAATCTTTTCTCATCAGGCCAAGTTGACCGTTTCTTCACACACTCTAGCCTGAAAGATGGTGAACTCTGCAACCTCTCCAGCTCAGTCTGAGGCCTTGATCACTGAACCATCCACTCCCACGTCTCAAATAAGTAGCACCTGCGGTTTGACTTCAACAACGCATACTGTGAAACCCGCGAAGAGGTCCAAACGGAAGGAACGAACCGCACGGCAATTGGCTCAGTATAGCCAGATTCGTCGCTCCACAAGGCAGCGCACACAAACGAACGATTTGATAGTGCAAGGTAGTAGCGATAAGCCCTTAGAACATCTCAAAGTGCAACTGATGCAGCTCATAGGCGTCACTCCATCCGATCAACATCTCATGTTCAAGGGCGTGGAACTTGTAGATTACAAAAAGACACTTCAGGATTTGGGAATTCCTCCGGACAGCATGCTACATCTCTGGACTGATAGTCCACCGATGAATGCTACAACTGTGCAACTGGAGAATAGCCAGCTATTGAAAGTGTCAACCGCACCCAAGGGATCCATACCTCCTAAGAATAATGCCTACAAGAATCAAGGTGCCCCGCTGGAGCTCGGTTTCAAAGGAACTCGATTACTGGAAAACTGATCAGTCGAACGTGTTTTTTTCTTCTTTTTGTTCACAGTCATGTCACTTGCATGTGTCATTCCCGGTCAAGCCTTGACTTGTATTTTCAGCCTAATGATACACACAGAGCCCACACCCCAGGGTCTTCAAAATCCTGCTCAACTCACACTTAGGTCTCACCCTTTCCCAGATCTAATTGGCTTGTCCTCTCCCTCTCACATCTTCCCTTCCCTCCTCTAAATTTTTCCTGATGCACCCTTAACCCAGCGACACCATGTTGGAGCCAGTTCATCTTTCCATTAGCATTCCTTTCAGCTCGTGCACCGAACTGCAGAAAAGAAGACAAATTCAGAACCGGGAAAATTGGGCGCAAGTCTGGTACCCGAGTACCACTCCAAGGCTAGAAATCCACCAGGAACATGGAGCAATCATCTATTGGGCACTTGTAAACTTCGTCCTCCGAGGGCGTTGTTACACACTCGAGAAAAGCAGGGACAGGTTATCATATAGGTATCACTTCTTTGCAAATCGAGCAGTCCTTGTATGGAACAAATTATCAGCTCAAATAGTTGAATGCCCCACAACGAAGGGTTTCAAACGAGAGCTGGACAAGGAACGGAATCTCTCATTTCCAGATCTGCCCTAAGGATCAGGGATTTTTAGTTTACTGATGAGATGCACGTAACGGATACTGCGCCATCTCCCTCTCTCTTCAACCGATACGGCGAGAAAAGAAAGTGTTCCCTTTCTTTTTCCGCCTCGCCAATAACAGNNNGCATCCTCAGACGGTCGCGGAATTATCAACCGTGCTGCAAGCCGGACAAAAATACAACTCGATCGGTCTACCGACGAGATCGAGCCAGAATCAGGACAACCATAAGGCCGCGGTCTCTACGTCCTGGAAGATTGGATTGGATTGGACCTTCCAGATATTACTCCCTTCGTTGAGAGTCGGAAGAAGTATTACAGTCCCAAGTGAGTCGGTCCATGGACGGAACCCACCATTACCAGAACACCCAACGGGCGAAGTCCTCTTTTCGTCCTGTGATTTGATTTTGAGGTCGTACCTGTCATTGTAGTTCGAAACTCCGTCTGTTTGTCACTTTTACGCGTGTTGAGTTCATGTGGAGTTTGATAAATTTGATCCTTTTATTTTATGGTGTATTTTAAAGTTGCAGAAAACTATCCTAATGATGTTTGGCCATAGTACGTTTATTCCGTTATTGTTGTTTAACTGTCCCTCAGAGCGGTTTAAGTGATTGGGGTTGTTACGTTTTCTCTCTTGCGTTACAGGATCAGTTATCCTTACGAGCCATTTTCNCATTTTCATTTTGGTATTATACATCACTACGGCCTCAACTATTTGATCACAAAAGAAAATCAGGATATTAATCTGGTCCGGAACAATGTGTTTTGAAATGATCCAACTGTCGACTCGTTAACTGCTCTTCACGAATGCATATTTACTGGGTACTGTGCAACTCATGTATGCTACATCAAAGCTTATCATTCCACCCAAGCCTGCCAGAAATTCGCCTTACATTCCGAAGCTGCGAATCAAGCTTAAACCATCATTAAACCGTAATCGCCTAGTACATGGTGCTTCTTTGAGGAGCAGCGCTCTTGTTCAACTCAGCCGCGGTGATGTGGTTTTGCGTTCTGCCCACTCTACGCGTACGCCTGGTGGCGCTTTGCGTAGCTCTCACAAAGTAACCGACAAAATCAATGCTACCGGCGGCTCGTGTGAAGATGAGTGCCGCGACGATACCGGAAAAGCCACTTGTGGTGATTGCGAGGCTGGTGTGTCTGTTACCAAAAGAGCTGGGTCGAAGAGGAAACAGGCGACCCTGGAAATGGATAATTTAGACTTGGAAGGATCAGAATCTGTGCTAACAAAAGTAAACTTGAAGGTGAGTGTGCGATCCGCATTTGCTTTTTGGTAAAAGTTTCGGTTGCCAGTTTTACTTATTGAGCTTCAGTTTTGTTAGTTTAAGGCTTATAATGTGGAATAATAAAAGAAAATTTTCGTGTCATCAACACGCTTACTTTCCGTTGTTGAAAATAAACGAAGTGAATCCAATTACGTTCAGTTTTACCGCCTACATGACGAGATATTCTCAAAATATCTGTTACCACAGTCCACCTTTCTCTAACATTCATGGTTTAATTCCCACACCTGAATGCAGTGGTTGGCGACTTCCTATCTCAGAGCACTCAGGCAAAATGTGCTCAACCGTAGTACCATGAAAACATGGTTTGTTATTCCACTTCTAGCGCTTGATTCCGGCAGCTAAAACGCACCCCTCGATCGTGTTTCTTTTCCTATGACTCCATCAAATCATACTAGGCAAAGTTTGCGAACCACAACCCTTACACCATGACCTCTCTGTAAATCGCTCACCCACACTGTCCAATATGGACTTTTTTGCTTTCTCTAAGCATTTTTCGTGATTCCCCTGATACCTTTTTTCAGCATGTATTATCAGCTATAAGGTCCAGGTCCCCCTCCGAATTTTTCACTTAACTTTCCGTCATGACATTCAATGCTCTTTACCCAGTCCACTTGAATAAAATGTAAATTTTGTTTGGCTCCCCAAGTCTAGATACAAATTAGTGCTTTATCTCAGGTGATTTTCGTCATTGTTTTAAATTTTGGAGCTGCAACCGTGTTAATTACATAAAAAATTCTACAGAGACAAGTTTAGATGAGAAGCAGACTTTTGGTTCTTTTCCCTTGGGAGTATTTTTATTTTCATTGCTTTAATCGAATTCATAGTTATCCGAGCAAGGCTTAAGTTGTCAGCTTATGGGCTGATTGTAATCGGCAAGGGTCAGGTAAGGTCAGTTCACAGGACTATCGACTGGTACCAACGAGAGTCCAGTTTCTTGCGCAATTGGGCTCCACTTTTCTCGTTGCGCTTGACAGCCTATCGAAGCCTTATGTTGTTTACCACTCCAAGTCTCAGGGTTGGGTTGCCGGTCTTCTCTCACCACAAATGAACAATACAACTCACAAAAAGCACGTGATGCGCACTCTACCACCGAACTCATAGCACTACAGAGCCCTCACTGACATTCGTAGTTTAAATCGAAACGTTAATTCTGTACACCACTTTCTACAATCTTCT